CCCTCCGTGAACATCCCTGGTATCATAGAACCGAGCTCTTGTGTTCGAAATGTACATGAAGATTCTTCTTTCACCAAGTTTACCTATCAGAGGCACCGATTCTGATGTAGCCGGTGTTGTGGCAGAGACCATGTTCAAGAATAGGGTTAACGACAGAAGAATTGTTATTTCTGCAATTTTAGAACAGGTTGTTTAATTGGTTGTTTTATATATCTCTTAACGCATAAGAGTTTTTTTTTTCTTTTGTTGTAGTTTGTAAATCAGAAATTAGTTACAATCTGTTTTATTTTTGATATTTCAAAAGTATTATACACAAACAGCTGCCTACACAGGTTTTTTATTGTTATTTTCTCTCATTTGTGCATGGTATTATCTCGCATAAATGATTAAAAAATATACTTTTTTTCTCTTTTCTTCTGAGTGTTTACTATTACACAGAAAGCTTCGAGGATAAAGCATGGATGAGAGATATAAAGGGAAACAAAAAAAATGAAGAATGAAGAAGAGCATTTGCTGCACACACCTAAGGGAGGGTAAACGTTATTATGTGCACCTGTGTAAGCAATTGTGTCACCTGGTATGACGACAACAGTGAAAGCCAAAATCAAAATGAACCCAAAAAGAAAACGAAAAAAAAAGTATGAACCAAATCGAGAAATTAGAACATAAAAGGAAAAAAGAAACAAAAACAATTATCAAGTTACGCTACAACATTTAAAAAGATGAATTTATCTGGGGTATATCTGTAGCTAAAAGAGACTTTTGATGTTAAGAGGAAGATATAACATCTCTCTCTCTTTCTCTCTGGCTCTCTCTCACTCTCTTTCTCTCCTATCTCTCTTTCTCACTTTCTCTCTCTAATCTCTATCCATGATATGTGTTGTGGTTGATATTTCAGATAACCCCATAGTCAAGAATCGTAATTGACATTATTGAAGCAATAAGTTTTAGCCAAGCAAAAGGATGGTTCTTATACATACCATGTAAAGAGCATCTTATTTAGGTGACCTTGATTATCATTATTTTTTTAAATATTTGAGTAAGAGTGAGAATAACCATGTAAATGGAGACTGGTAACCAAGTGCCTATGTGTCATCCATGCTTATTCTCACGTAATGTAGCTGAAATGGAATCTCATTAATTATTGGAGGAGCATTTAGATGCATTTTTTAGGAAACATTTAAATATGCAGTTTCAAAAAAAACATTCCATTGATCTAATCTACCTTGAGACGACAACTATGTATATATATATATAATTTCTTGAACAGCTGAACACAACTTGGGAGAATTGTAACCTTCTATTTCTTTATATATATTTTTTTCCCAGAAGGTCTTTGGTCTCTGAATAAAAAATATATAGATTTGGAGCCTTGAGATCCCCAGCGTGATATTTGATTTTTTTTTTCTCTCTTTATTATTATGTTGTATTGTTAGAAGCTTAGAAATCTCCATCCAACCTATGATGGACAAAGCATAGGTGCAGTGAACCTCCCTCCCTCTCTTTTGAAGAAGAAAAAGATAACACTTGGCGTTTTTTCTTTCTCTCATTTTTTTATTAATACTATGATAAATCTCTCAGATGGAACAAGAGCATGACGTTAAGACTATTAACATATGAATATAACAAAGTGTTTAAGGGACTTTAAAGTATGTGGAAGAGCCTAAGATGAGATAAAAAATCGACCAGCATGGTGATTATGACTACTGACATGATGGTGAAGTCTACTGACGTTTAAGAACTCTTGAAAAGTGTTTAGGACTTCGGACAAGAGTGTTGAGGAATCTGAGAGCTTGTGATAGCTAGTATGATCCAAAAACATTACATTGAGGGTGATTTCTCTCATCAGTCCTATGAGAAGGGTATTTATTTCATTTATATTTCTTTCCAAATAGAATTAATGACTGGAAGTTTTGCCAAAAGGGTTGACAGGCACGGCAAGATGATTGGTTGATATAAGCATCCTTTTTTTTTGGCTCTCTGAAAGAAAGGAGAGATTCTTTTTCTTTTTCTTTAATCAGTGAATTGTAAACGCGAGTTGACTGGTGTAATGTTATTCAAGTAAACTCTTAGTTAAGTGAGTCTCCGTCGTTAAATTATAGTATCTTATAATTCTCAATCAGAAGATTTGTAGAGGAGGAATATACATATATACACACACACATACACAAAACCGTGTATGTGCGTGTATATATAAATATATTCATAAATACAACTGATACAGCAAGTTTGTATACAACAAGAGGGGCACTACCCATGAAATACGTTCGCATAGAGTAAACAAAGTAACCTTGAAAATAATATTAATAATAAGTCTGATAGTGTGAGCAAGTAATAAATTAAAAGACACTGAAGGCATGCGAAGGAGCTACGTTGTTTTAAATAGCTATTAACACACTCAGCCATCGGTACTTGAGCATTAAGAAGAGTCACACACTAATGCCTTGTACTTGATAGCTAAATGGTTATGGCGAGGCAAAAGAACATATAAAAAGAAATAAATAGGAAAAGCAATAACAAGACATGCACTGATGAAGATCACTTTTTTTTTTCTTACTTTAAACCAAAAATAAATGATTACCTTATATACGATCTGGAGTCCACATCGTATACTGTCAAATACTGTAATATACTGTACATCTCACTAGGACACACAGCCAAGCACACCAATGACGGACTACTAGTTAATGATATACACACGTCACATATTTTTTTTTTTTTTATCGTTATGATTTTTTTTTCTATTTTTTTTTAACCCTTGTCCAAATAATAGAAATAAATTGTTGCTTTCTTAACCATCAGGGGTAGGTAACACTGATATTTATGCCATTGATTTTATCTCTATTGTTTTTTTTAAATGTATATATAAATCTAAGCGGGAGGAATGATGATTTTAAAGTGGTTACGTCTGAGGTGTCTTAGGGTAATTTTAGAGAACAGTTTTCAGCTCAAAATGACAAGATGCTTGTTTGTTTTTTGTTTTTTTCCTTCGTACTCTTTCCGTTTTTGTTTTTTTTCTTTTCTTTTCTTCCTTTTCCAACAAAATCCTACTACGGCCTGTAGATGTTAAAGCGATTCCTATTTTGTTTCTCGTTTTCTTTGTTTTTTTAATAGTTGGGTTTCTCATTAACCATCAACCTTCGATATAATAAAACACTGTGCGACACCAAACGTTTGTTTCGGATGTAGTGAAATAAGTATAATAACGATGATAATAAAAGTAATGATAATAAAAGTAATAATAGTAATAATAATAATAATAATAGTAATAATAATAATAAAAACAGTAATAATAATAATAAATTTCAAAATAAAGAAAGGGGCAAAATTACAAAGTGGTACAGATTCCAATGCTTACGTCACAACACGCCCTTGGATCACCGCTTGTTCAATTAAAGGGGTTATAGTTTTTTAAAGAAGCGGCCCAAACTCTGCTTTAAGTCCTTAAGAAATTTCTGATGCAGTGACTGACACTCTGACTCGGTCTTGAACAGTGTTCCTCTTACAGGCGGAAGATAGCGTGCATTGAGATAAAATGCTGTTTTATTTTATGCCTCGTATCTTAGAGATGTATTTTTTTTTTTATTCATTATCATTTTGTTATTCATTACCTTGACTTGCCAGCGTTGTAATGTTTTCCGTCTATTCTTGTTTGTTCATATGTCTATACCATTCGCGTGAGATACGTATGCGACGTAACATTCTCAAATCGTTATCGTAAGAAAAATAAACAAATAAATAAATAAATACGCTTTCACGTTCAAAGTGAATATCTCGGTATTCATGTTCTACGATCTGGCTATTGATTATACTCTTTGAGAAGTGAGCATTTCGTATCTAAAGACAGTCTTAAGAACTCTTTCAGAATTTCGGCCTCGTTGATTATTGCAAGTGACGCATATTATTGATTCTGAGTTTTCTAGATGCAAAAGATAAAATAAAACTCGGGTCTAACTTATATCAAAAGTTCGAGAAATGAAGCAGTCTTTTAAACCCGGGAAACTTGAGGCGTACATGCTTTTTTTTTTTTTTTCTTTGTTCTTTTTTTTTTTTTTTGGAAACTCAGAATTGCAATGTAATAATAAAAAAGAGACTGCCATCGATGGGAAATGCACTGATAGAATGAATGATCTTTTTAAACTTGTGATATTATTCACAATTATTAATTTATTTTATGGATTAGGGCCGTCTTTTAAGTATGTGTATGGTGATCCATGAATTTTTTTTAGATAAATTTAGTAGTTTTTTAAGGAGATTCTTAGTTAGTTGACCACATTCTTTTTAATGTTATATGGTAATATTTACCTTCAAAGGCCCCATGTCTATTCTACAAATGTCACAATATTAATATAAATTGCATAGTCCAGTGATGTACTATTCTAAAATGCTTAATTATTTTTGGAATGATTTATCAGCAATAATTGACTTACAATATTATTTTCTTAGTATCACAGCAGGACCAAAACAGGATATCACGAATAATTAGATATATCACTGTCTGTCTCCCAGAAGGCACAAGTCAGATAGAAATCGAATCCATGCTTAGTTGCCAATATCATTACTTTGCTTAATAAAGAGACGTGTAATAAATCTGAGCAAGAAGGTTGAATTCATGTAAGGAAAAGTTTGAAATTAGATATATCCGAAAAAGACTGACCACTAAATGTCTAACATTAGCTGTAATATACTTAAATGTACCTGTATTTGCCACCTTACTTTAGTTTTGACTACTTATGAATTTCTCACTTCGATTTCTATACAGACGTAAGTGTCTCAATTTCACCATGAAATACAGTGGGGAAGAAAGCTGTCTCCAGGACTTAAATTAGGCCTTCCATTCGGGCCAGACGAAACCTCTCTGTGAGACAGACGCCTGTGTTGTCGTTTACTAGAGTGAGCGCTGGGGCAGGTTGGGTGTTGTGAGGTAGAGCAAACACTATGGAAATAAAGAGAGAGAGGCCGAGGATGTCTGGCCGTACCTAGTGTCAGTTTCTCGCCAGTGTCAGGGGGCAGTGTGAAGCCAAGCAAAGTCATACTGCTTATCATTATACAGGGCAGAACCAGATTGTATAAATAATAGATTGTGCGTCGCCGTATCTTGATGATGAAGGTTATGTCCACATATGGCTCTGGGCAGCATTGGTACGTCTGTACGTTTCGCTCACCAGGAACCTCTGTAAAATAACGTTAATTAGTGAAAAAAAGGAATTAGGTTTCGGAGAAGAGCCATTGGAAGGATCTCGCTGAGGCAGAGTGTCTCACTCTCTCTCTCTCTCTCTCTCTCTCGTCTTCACTCGAGGTGGCGGCGACGGCGGCGGTGGCGGAGGCAGCGTGCGTTCGTGATCGCCCGCGCTCTCGTGCTATCTCTCTCTCTCTCGCTCTCTCTCTACACCCGCTCTCCGGCGGCGCTCGACCGCTGTCTTGGCCCCTGAGGCTTTGTTTTTAATTGAATGAAAGAGGTACTTGGTTTTTATATTTTGATTTTTTTTTATTATTAGAGTATTCCACGTCCATGGGCTTTCGCAGATCTCTTCGATACGATTCCTCTTGTTAGCCTCTTACGGTTCTCTCGTCATTCGTGAAACAAATCAACCAAAAAAGAAAGTAAAAAAAAAGAAAAAAAAAACAGAAAACGCTGTGGCCGGCAGAGGAGAATAATAATAAAAAAGGAGAAGCAGAGAGGTTGGAATAGAGCGGACAAGAAACAAGTTGTGTTGGGACGGGATGGGTTTGGTGGTTGAACGAGGAGCCGGGCAAGACGATGGAAACAAAACATCTTACAAGGAATCTCATGCTGAACCCACCCTGAGTTAGACCACTGACTTGATTGATCATTATTATTATTATTATTTTTCTCTTCTCTCTCTACACCTTCTCTCTCGTTTATTCAATTGAAAAATCCTTCCTATTCAAAGCATCTAAGCCATCCTCTTCAACTAGCTTGGACTCGTTCGCCCTGGCTCCTGGTTCGCTGTTCAATGATTATCATCTCAGGAGGTCGGAACTAAGATCATCACCCACCCCTGACCTCCCCTTTGGCGTGAAATCGGTGTTACCTTCCCCGTTGCAGGGCATAAAATGGTATATCAATTGAGAATCTCAACAACAGGAAATCTTGGGTAATGAGGGATGCTCTGTCAAAATCCCGTTCTTACCAACTAACACTATATCGAGTACTAATTACGGTTATGGTAGTAAAAAATGTACAATAAGAAACGAATATTCCAAACCATAGTAATAATAGTAATCATAATAATAACCATAATGGAAAAACGAACACAAAACCAAAACAAACCAACCGATAATCAATAATAATCCATAATAATCATAATCAAAACGTGACAAAGAACCCAAAAAAGGATTAGGGAAAACTCATAAAGGTAAATTCAAGACCTAGTATCATAACAGCAAGTGAAAACCTCTCAAGGGT